CAGCAGGTTTCAAACCATTACAGGTACCTAACCACTCTTTGCAGCCAGTCCTGTGTCCCTCCCTGCACCATCGACGAGATGTCCTTGTGGTGTGGCTGGGCAGGTGCTTGTCTCCTTGGGTGATGCTCTTCTAACTTCATGTTGGTATCTTAGACATAAGAAAGTCACCTGGGCCACCCTCTGTGGTCAGGAAAGCACCTCCAGAGGAGGTTGTATATCCCATCCTGAAATAAGGTGTTATAGCCAGAGGCTGAGATGTTCTCTGGGTGTTTTGGTCTCTATCCACTGACCTGCTAAGGAAGGAAGCCCAAGGCAACCTGCTTGGGCAAGATATCAAAGCCTTCCAGAGAGGTGAAGGTCATGGGCTGGATCTTACCCTCTGTGGCTGGTGTTTAAATCATACACACTCATAGAACAGTTTTGGTTGAAAGAGACTTTTCAGATTGAGTCCAACCATTCCCCCAGCACTGCCAAGTCCACCACTAAATCATGACTCTCAGCACCACATCTCTACAGCTTGGAAACCTCTCCAGGGATGGGGACTCCACCACTGCCCTGGGCAACCCTTTTGTTCTGTCTGAATTCCTCACACCTGAAGATGTCTCCTACGTGTATGTGCAGGTCCCCCAGCTCAAGAGGAAGGATGTTTCCAGCCCTTGCAGTAACTGCTGTGGCATTCTGATAACTGACTGATTTGTCCCTTGGCTTCCAGAGCACCAGTTCTACCACAAATGGGCAATCCTTTCTGACCCTGAGGACCTCACTGCTGGGCTGAAAGGTTACCTGAAGTGTGGGAAAGGGGACAACATCAAGACACCGCACAAAGCCAACGAGACGGAGGAGGATGACATTGAAGGGTGAGGATCTTCAGAGCCAGCTCCACGTGGCCTTGCTTAGGAATGGCTTTTCATGTCTCTTTACCTTGGGTTGTGCAATGAGAACATCAACCCTTCTGGATGAGCCCTAATGGCTCAATGGTTGGACTTGATGATCTTAAAGGTCTCTTCCAACCTAAAGGATTCGATGATTCTATGAGGCTGATGGTCCTTCTAGTACCAATACTTTCCAAGTGTGATGAAACCTGAGGGATCAGGTAAATTATTGAGAAGATAGAACTTGTGGCAGATTACTGGTGCAAATCCAGGTCATATCAAGTACAGATGATCCATTTCTACCAGTTCAGACCATCTGCTGGCTGGTGAACACTCTACACCAACCCCAGCCTGACATCAACCTGATGTCCTCACTGTTTACCTAACACTCCTGTTGGCCATTGGATGGGAAGATGAGATGGAAAGATGGAATCACAGAATCGTTTAGGTTGGAAAAGACCTTTAAGAACATCAAGTCCAACCGTTCCCCCAGCACTGCCAGGTCCCCACTGACCCGTGTCCCTCAGCACCATCTCTCCATGTTTTTTCAGTCCCTCTAGGGATGGGGACTCCACCTAGGCAGCCTGGGCCAGGCCTTGACAACCCTTTCAGTGGAAAACATCATCCCTCAGGTCCAACCTAAACCTTCTCTGGTGCCATTTCCTCTTGTCCCATCACCTGCTACTTGTGAGAAGAATAGGAAGGTGGGATGGCCTCTCATCACTCACTGCAAGGGCAGAGCAGGAAGGTCTGGGTGAGGTTTCCCAGGCTGCATGGGTGGGGCAGGGCTCTTTGACTCCCCACAGCATCTAAAAGGCCATGGAAGATAAATCAGGAGAGTTTAAACTTTAGTTCCATCCTCAAAATGTCTCAGGTTGATTTTTTTAGTGGGGGGTTGGAACTGGGTGGGGGGTTGGAACTGGGTGATCCTTGGGGTCCCTTCCAACCCTGACAGATTCTGATCTGTTTTAGCAGAGGACTTTAGAGCCCTAATGGCTCAAGGGTTGGACTTGATGATCTTGGAGGTCCCTTCCAACCTAAAGGATTCTATGATTCTAAGCCCAGTTTTTCATTCTACCCCTCAGCCTGTCACCACACAGTCAGAAACCCTGACTAACAGCACAATATCAGAGCAGCTTTCTTCTCTTGCTGGGGACCAGTGGGCTCAAGGCACCACCTGATTTATTTTAGATCAGTGTTCCAGGCTGTGGTGGTGATATTATCCCACTTCTTCACACAGCTCCAGAAATCCCTCTAGAATTTTGCCAGCATCCCCCCTGGCTCTCATTTCTTCCCCCAGAAGAGGAAAGTCAAATATGCCAAGAAAACAAATTTGGTGGAGCTCCCCTCGTACCCTGGTAAAGGAAAAAAGGTTCTTCTGACATCCCACTCATCTGGCCTGTTTTAGGTATCCAAATTAGGCTGAGTTTAATTGTCCTCTAGACTGCACTGACAATAATGTTTCTATCCCCTTCGTGGAATGCACTTTGTCCCAGGGGCACCTTAAGAGGCTCCTCTAAGATTCTGCTTACAAAACCTCCTCTCTTCACCCCAAAACAGAAGGATGGGCAGACACGGGACAGCAATAAACTATATGGCTGCAGAAATGACCATTTTTCCACCTCCACAGAGCCCGAGCTCAGAAATCAGGGCAGCTTCTCCTAAGGAACCTGCCAGCTCCAACAACTGTTCCCAACCCTAGCTGTTGACTTTGCAGGAACCTCCTCCTCCCAGATGGGGTCCCTCCGGAGAGGCAGTGGGCTCGTTTCTACATCAAGATCTATCGGGCAGAGGGACTGCCCCGTATGAACACCAGCATCATGGCCAACGTGAAGAAGGCTCTCATTGGGGAGAACAAGGACTTGGTAGACCCCTACGTGCAGGTGGTCTTTGCAGGGCAGAAGGTGAGCGAGCTGCCTGTGGTACCAGGGTGACCCTGGGAGGTAACGTGAGCAGGACCAGCCCTTGTAGAGGTGGCCAGAGATGGTCTCAGTTGTCCTGGCACGTAGATGCAAAGCCACCTCATTTGTAGTGTTGCTCTTCTCTCGTGGAGGCTCGGGTGGGTTTGCAGCACTCTCCAGTTGAGGAAAGGAGTTTGCTAGTCAGGAGAGGAGAGTCACAAGGCAGAAGTCATGTTTCATGAGCAAGGGAGCAGCTCAGGTTATGAGGGATGGCTTTAGGGGTGAAAGCCTTTGCTAACATCTACCTCCACCCACTCGTCAGGGGAAGACATCTGTACAAAAAAGCAGCTACGAGCCTCTCTGGAATGAGCAAATAGTCTTCACAGAAATGTTCCCCCCATTGTGCAAGAGGATAAAGATCCAGATCCGGGACTCGGACAAAGTCAACGACGTGGCCATTGGGACCCATTTCATTGATCTGCGGAAGATCTCCAACGAAGGAGACAAAGGTAAAGCTAAGGTGGGGGGGACACTGAGCTACCTTCTTCTTGGTAGAGAAACATTCCTTTGGCAGAGAGTCAGCACAACAGCCTCGGCTCCTTCCCCACCCCTGGAGACAACCACTGCTTGGTGTGCAGCTGGAGAGACTTTGATCTCTTGCACTGGGCTTCTGAGGTCACTGGACACGTGCTCTTGTGTCCCAAGCCCTGACCCAAGCTTCCAGTCTACCACTTGAAAGCAAAGACACCCAAGAACAAAGATTCCTTGCCATGGATGGGTGAATATCTGACAGGTTCTCCCACTCACTCCATGAACACACCAGCACACACAGGCAGGGCTGGTGAGAAACCAAAGGTGGCTCTGGAAAGGGGACTGGTGGGGGGCTCTTTCTTCTTGACATTCACGTTGAGTGACTTGCCCATTGTGTGGTTGCAGTCTTGCACTTCCAGGCCCACACATGTCTGCATTCAAGTCTCTGCCACCACCCACAGACCAGGAAAGTGATGCTAATCCATGAGTGAATTTGTGCCCTCCAGCAAAGACGTGTCCTCCTCCTTTCACATCCCCTTCCCTAAGTGCATGTCCAACCTGCTGCAGGCTTCCTGCCCACCTTTGGTCCCGCGTGGGTGAACATGTACGGCTCCACTCGCAACTACACCCTGATGGATGAGCACCAGGAGCTGAACGAGGGGCTGGGTGAAGGTGTCTCCTTCCGGGCCAGGCTTCTGATGAGTCTTGCCGTGGAGATCTTGGACACCACCAACCCGGAGATCAACAGCTCCACCGAGGTGCAAGTGGAGCAGGCCACATCCATTGCTGATGTGAGTCCCAGTTTATGGAGGGGGGGGTTGGACTAGATGACCTTTGGAGGTCCCTTCCAGCCCAGACATTCTATGATTTTATGATTCTAAGTTCTCCCTAACCCTGCAGCTGCCAGTGGAGAGTCTTGGGTCTCAGGCACCTCAGTTTTTTGTCTTTGGTCTTAGGAACCAAGGATTTCATTTAGCATTGCCTTAAATGTTCTGGATCCTGGGGGATCCAGAAAGAATGAAACCTTGCAAGGATTTTATATTTTATGATCATTCAAATGCTCACCTCTCTTATGGGTGCTGGGCAGAAGGAAGACCTGAGTGAGGGAGAGTCCTGAACTTTGAGATATTTCTCCAGCTGGGAGTTAGGCAAGGACCAAGAGCCATCTCCTGAAGATGGCTTTCAGACAGAAGCCAAGGGTTTAATCTATTTCCCAACCAGTTTTGGATGGAACCAGCCAGAGAAATTGAACAGCTGCTTCCTGACAAGAGAAGCCCCAGAGCTTTAGTGCTGACATGTAGAGCCCATGAGGCTGCTCTGCACAGACAGACAGATCCAGGTTTGTCCTACCTGGGGTCACCTGCACACATCAATCCACACGAGCCAAGGGTGGGACACAGAAATGGAGAAGCCTGAGGGCAACGCACCCTTTGCATGAAAGGGGAGTCCTTCAAAAGCGAAGTGGCCTTGATTTAATTAACTAAATTCCAGGGGTAATGAAGCCAGCTGGAAATAAAGCCATTCCTGTCCTGGAGGAGCACCCAGGCAGAAGGTTCTACGTGGGGTGATTAATTTGATTTGTGAGTGAGCTCAGGCTCATATTCCTGAGTGTCCCTTTGACAGCCCCTCACCTGCAAAGGTGCTTTCAACACATTTAAAAATTAGGCTAAAATTTAGAAGGCACTGGGGAGACCTTCTAGTGTCCTTCCAGTATCTGAAGGGGGCCTACAAGAAACCTGGGGAGGGACTTTCTACAAGGGCTGGTAGTGATAGGACATGGGGAAGGGCTTCAAACTGGAAGAGGAGAGATTTAGATTAGAAATGTGGAAGAAATTCTTCACTCTGAGGGTGGTGAGACATCCTCCCAGGCTGCCCAGGGAAGCTGTGGATGCTCCATCCCTGGAGGTGTTCAAGACCTGGTTGGATGGGACTTTGAGCAACCTGGTCTAGTGGGAGTTGTCCCTGCCCATGGCAGGGAGGTTGGAATTAGAGGAACTTGAAGGTCTCTTCCAACCCAACCCATTCTAGGATTCTATGAAAATCTTTAATTAAACTCCCTCTGCAGTGAGCCTGGAGATGGCTCAGGCTGAGGAAGAGAAAACCCTTGTGGTCCCCTTAGAACCCTGAGCGGTGACATCTAAACTTCAGAAAGCCCCCGAGGGTGCTCCGAGGTGCTGGGTGATGCACCCCTCTGCCCCAGGGGACCTGCCCTTTGGCTGACCTCAACCCCAACTGTTTCTCCTGCAGAACTGCACTGGGAAGATGGAGGAGTTCTTCCTCTTTGGAGCCTTCCTGGAGGCTACCATGATCGACAGGAAGATTGGTGACAAGCCCATCAACTTCGAAGTCACCATAGGTTGGTTGATGTGGAGAGGAGGGTGGTTTTGAAGCATTTGTGGTGGGGAATGCAGGGTCCAAGGCTGAGAGAAGGGTTTCTTCCCCTTTTTCTGCAACACCCGTGCCAGGGCATGCAGGGTGCTCAATTTAGGGAGAAGGTGATGGGTACTCTACTGGCACAAGCCACCCAGGGCCCCAAATCATCTGTTGTGTGCATGCAGTGCTGTGGCCAGTGGAGCTGCTCCCTCTTTCCCCCTGACTTAGTGTCTCCTGAGGGTGACCACCAAAAGGAAGGTGTGTATTCCTACTGATTCCAGAGGAGAGATGAGCAGGGGACAGATGCCCATCACTAATTTATGGTTCCTGGGCACGGTTTCAGAGAGTTGAACTCCACTCATGGTTCCCGCAGAGAAATCTTCTCCCCAACCTAATCTAAAGCCAAGAGGTTGAGCCCCATTGGAGTAGAAGCCTGTGACTTTATTCCACTCTTTTTCCTTGAGGAAACTATGGGAACCAGATCGATGGCATGAGCAAACCCATCCTACGGAGGAAGAAAGAGGGAGCGGATGGGGATGAGGAGGAGTCTGAGCTGCTCCAGAACTCGAGCGAGGATGAAGGTGATGAGGGTGGAGAGCTGGTCTCTGTTTCTTCCTCTCAACCCATGAAGCCCCTGGTCACAGACAGGTAAGCATGCCCACCTGGCCACTGAAGTGCCACTGGGCACTGTGCCCTGTAAAGGGGGGTTAGATATCACATGTAGATACCTTGTCTTGGAGACTAATCTGTCAGCTGAACCCTCCTGCCCCGTTCCCTACAGTTCTGAGCATTCCTGTGGATTATCTGATGTCTCTGGGGAGACCTTCTTGTGGCCTTCAAGTGTCTGAGGGGAGCCTACAAGAAAGCTGGGGAGGGACTTTTTCCAAGGGCTTGTAGAGATAGGATGAGGGGGAATGGCTTCAAACTGGAAGAGGGGAGAGTGAGATTAGAAATGAGGAAGAAGTTGAGCACTCTGAGGGTGGTGAGACATCATCCCAGGTTGCTCAGGGAAGCTGTGGATGCTCCAGCTCTGGAGGTGTTCAACACCAGGCTGGATGGGGCTTGGAGCAACCTGCTCTAGTGGGAGGTGTCCTGCCCATGGCAGGGGGTTGGAACTGGATGATCTTCAAGGTCCCTTCCAACCCAAACTATTCCATAATTCCTTGTCTAATGAGGGCTGAATTCACCTCCCAGCCCACCCTATGAAGGCCATCATCCATTCACCTGGCCAGATGTGCACCCCAAACTCAAGGCTATCTGATGCCTGGAGTGCTCTTCCTCTATGGCAACTAGGAATGAAGTTAACCAGTGGTTTCCAAAGATCACTGGTGGGCACTGAAAAAATCAGGTTCACTGGGAAACCAGTCTATGAACAGGACCTTCCTTAGGACTACTGCCACTCTTGGTGGCACAACCCAGCTCTGTGCATCAAGGAGGGGAGGTCTGGGCTTTGTGCCTGTGCTCTCTCTGGCTACCTGATGCACAAAGACATTTTGGACACCATGTGGAGAAAAGGAAAGGTCCATCTAGAGAGCAGGCAGAGCTTTCAGCAGGGAGGGTAATTTGTGCTGAGACAGAGTGCATTTCTTCATCACTTGGGATCTTAAAAGCTTAGAGAGGTCGCTGACGTGGAGAGGAGAGGATGAAAAACTGCTGAAAGAAGTTCTTGAGTTCTTCTGGCTCATATTTAGCCGGTTGTCAAGGAGCACCCCCAGGTCCCTTTCTGCCAGGCACTTTGCAGCCACTCTGCCCCCAGCCTGGAGCGTTGCAGGGGGTGGTTGGGACCCACGTGCAGGGGGTTGTTGTGGCCCATGCACGGCTGGTTGGCAGTGGCCAAATCCCTCCTGTTTTCTCTGCTTCGCCTTCCCCAGCTATAAAATTACAGCAGGTTTTTTGATCTGCTTTATGAGTTACTTTGCAACGTGCAGGTAGAAAGACAGGTGAGACCCAGAGAGCTGCCAGTGTGACGCTGGTGGGTGCTTCCCACCCCCAGGAGCTGGGTCAGGGAGCCCCAAAATGAGCAGGAGCAGCACACGTGTCTTGGGATGGCTGGGCTGGGCTTCAGCCTCAGCCTGGATTTGAATACAAAGGACTAAGGAAAGCTAATTGGATTTAACCTGATGAGATGTGCCTAAAGTGGATTTTAACCCTGTTACACCAGTCGAGAGGTGCTAATAGAATTAACTGGCTGACTTAATTTAATTGGGAAACGAGACACACCACACTGAGTGTGAGCTCCAGAGAGAAGTGTCTACCTGGGCTTCCCTCACTTGCTTGCCAGCCCCCTGTCAAGGTGGGTGCTGGATGGAGGTGAGCAGCAAAGATGATTTTTCAGCCTGTCCCCTGGGCTCTGACTCTCATGCTGTTCACCCAGATGTCTCCAGCCCCTGGGTGCTGGAAGCCTTACACTCAACCACAGGGCTCTGCTGACATCTTCTGGCTGGAAATACCTCCATGGCTCCAGAAGAATGAGCTGAAGCTGGGTTTGAAGGAGGATCCCAGGTGCAGAAGGATCTGGGTGGATCCCAGCTCATGGCCAGTGCTTGGGCAGCCAAGAAGCACGAACCCATTCTTCAGCCTCATCCTCCCTTTCACCATACCACAACTATCACAGAATCATCAGGGGTTCGACTAGATGACCTTTGGAGGTCCCTTCCAGCCCAAACATTCTATGATGATTCTATGATCATCTAGTCACAGAACAGTATGGGTTGGAAGGGACTTTTAAAGGTCATCTAGTCCAACCCCCCTGCCATGGGCAGGGACACCTCTCACGAGGCCAGGTTGCTCAGAGCCCCATCCAGCCTAATCTGGAAGGTTCTCAGGGATGGGGCTTCTACCATCTCGTTGGACAACCTGTTCTAGGGTTTCATGGCCCTCAACCTGAAAAATTTCTCCCTTGTATCTATCACTCTGCCCCACCAGCATCTGGAAACCTGTCAGCTCTGCAATGGGTGGAGACCTCCTTCTGTTTTGAAGGCCAGGGCACTACAGGAGGTGCTCACCAGCATTCAGGAAAGGGGGTTAATGCTTCAGTTTCCCCCGTGCCCCTGCTCATGCTGCTGGAGATGTTTGCTCTCTGCTGGGCTGAGGGTGAGGTCCTGGGAGTGGGACCTTCCCTGGTTTCTCTCTGGGCCACCAGGTCTGAGATGGTCAATTTGCAATTCCCTGGGCACCGAGCCCTTCCACCCCTGGGTCTGCTGTGGGGAAGGGTGGTAGGAGAGCTGGAGCTTCCCTCTGAGCTCACCTCAGCCCCCTCTCTCCCACGCCCGACCTCCTGGATAGCCCGCTCCCCACCACAGCATTGCCTCACCAGGAGAGGAGGGGGACAGGGGCTGTTCCTGGCCATGGGTGTCACCACCATGGAGCATTTCTCCTGCCTCTTCTTGCAGGAACTACTTCCACCTGCCCTACTTTGAGAAGAAGCCCTGCATCTATATCAAGAGCTGGTGGCAGGACCAGCGTCGCCGACTGTATAATGCCAACATCATGGACAAGATTGCAGACAAGCTGGTGAGCTGGACTTGGGAAGGGAGGGAAGGGGACAGCTTGGGGCCTGGGGCTGCCAAGAGGAACATCCAAGCTCCCTGCACTTCCCCACAGCTTGTCACAAAACGGGGACAAACGGCCCATGGACCCACTAGTGAGAATTCTTCTAGAAAGGGACAAGTTTCCCAGTGCTAAAAGCTCCACGGTTTGAATGTCCAAATCTTAAGAGCTCATTGGATGGACCCAGGTGTCCCCACCAAAAAGAACAGGAGTGGGGAGGTTTTGTCCCTCTGGCTTGCAGAGGTGTGGCAGAGCCTCAGTCTCAACTGACCCCCAAGGAGCCTTAGTGACAGCTCCACACCGGCAGTGTCCCAACAGCATCTGCAGAAGGAGACCCTGGCAGGTCCAGACAATTCGGTGGGGACCTTGGCCAACTAGTCTCACAGGGGGTTGTGGAGCTATTCCCACCACCCAGAGGTGGATCCCCGCAGCCAAGACCTGGAGAAGCAGTAGATGGTGCAGCCTGGCTGCTCTGTGTGGGGTTGGACCACACTGGAGACCATGCCCCACCACGGGGACCATGTCCCACCACGGAGCTCCACCCCAACACCCCCTCACCCTTTCCCCCATTTGATGCTGCAGGAGGAAGGGCTCAATGACGTGCAGGAAATGATCAAGACAGAGAAGCCACACCCCGAGCGACGGCTCCGAGGGGTCCTGGAGGAGCTGAGCAGTGGGTGCTTGTGAGTAAAAGATGGGCAAAGGTGGGACATGGTAGACCCCTCTGGTCCCCTAGAGACCCCTCATCCTCTGGATGATGGACAAGCATCTTGCCACATTGGCACAATGCCATATCAGCTGTCTTCTGGCTTGGACCAAGGGTGAGGAGGTGCTTACACCTGCACGCCAAAGACCCCAAACCAGTGGTCAAAGCCTCCACCTTGTGGCCTCCACAGGCTGGCACCTGATCATCACCTACTCCCCACGCATGACACTCAACTTTGGGTGCAAAGAGGCCACTTGGCCACGACTACATTGCAGGCTTGGGAGAACAAGGGCATTTCCCTCCAGCGAGGTGCTCTCCTGCTGGCGGAGATCCAACCAGCCACAACTCCTTGGGGAGGACTCTTGGTCTCCCAGAGGATTCACACCACCCACCTTTTCCACCAGGCGCTTCGTGACGTTGGCTGACAAGGACCAGCACCACTCTTCCCGCACGAGGCTGGACCGGGAGAGGCTCAAGTCCTGCATGAGGGAGCTGGTAAGTGGGCAGGGAGGAGGATTCAAGAAGGAAAGGTCTCAAGCTGCTCCAGAGGAGGTTTAGACCAGACTTTAGGAAGAACTTTTCCACTGAAAGGGTTGTCAGGCATTGGAACGTGCTGCTCAGGGAGATGGTTGAGTCCCAATCCATGGATGCGTTTAAAACCTGTATAGATGTGGGCTTGGGGATATGGATTTGGTAGAGTGTGGTAGAGTAGGGTTAATGGTTGGACTTGATGCTCTTAAAGGTCTTTTCCAACCAAAGTGATTCAATGATTCATTGGGGCTGGACATCATCAGCACCATGCAGAACTTTGGTCCATCAGCGTGGTGCTTTCCAGCCTGAGGTTTGGGAGTTTATTTCTTCACAGAGGAGCCCAAGATCAGTTGGGTCTTGAACAGGTCTTAAGCAGCACTTGGGTCCAAGCTGCTGCCTCCCCTCCACACACTCTGCTTTGCCTCGGGAAGGAATCTGGGGGTGCAGAGGAGGAGCTGCCCAGCTGTCAAGCAGCTGAGGGGTCTGGGAAGGGGTAATTTAGGAGACCCTTGAGGAGCACAGCTGCTCCAAGGAGAGATACAGCCTAGGGGTTTGGGGCTGGTAGCCCAGCTCATTCCAGAGGAGGTGGATGTCCAAAAAAAGATGTATAAAGAGCAGGTGGCTTATCCAGCTGGCACAGCTCAGGCCACCAGCTTCAGCAGCCAGCTGCAGAGCAGAGAGCAATGAATTTAGCACAGGAAAGCCCCACACCCCCCTTTCTGAACGGCCAGATGCTGATTCCAGCAGGGTCAGCAGAAGGGGAGACACTATCCTTAACCCCAAGCTAGAAGTCACCCCAAAATGTCCTAAGCAGAGCTGACACCTCTCCATCCTGCATGCCTTCTGCTGGGACAGACCTCTCAGCACTGCCAGAGACCCTCCTGTGTCCTGTTGTGGTTGCTGAGGGGGTGTCAGCACCATCACCAGAGTGCACGTGGTGGGATTAAGGCTCTTGCTTCCTCACCACCCCTTCCTGAACGTCAGGGACCTCCCTGGGGCAGCTCTTCTCTGTGCTTCGTTCTGCTCTTGCTAACCTGGTGCCCTGGGCTCTCCTTGAACCGCAGGAGAACATGGGGCAGCAAGCCACGACCCTCCGGTCCCAGGTGAAGAAGAACACCATGAAAGACAAGCTGAAGCTGGTGCAAAACTTCCTGCAGAAGCTGAGGTTCTTGGCAGATGAGGTGAGTCCCACCTCATGCAGAGACAACGTTAGCTGGGTCAGCACCTGCCAACAGCAGCCTGGGAAGGGTGGAGACCTCTCTGCAAACTCTGTAGGCAGGAGAGGTCCCCAGGACCTCAGGTCTTGTGCAAGGAGCCAAGTCTACGCAGTGCCCCGTGACTCCAAGACTTGCCCATGCACTGCTGGGATGGGACAAGTCAGCATTAGAACGAGTTTAAGAGCCCTTTCTATGGTTGGGAATGGAAGGGACCTCTGGGGATCATCCCATCCCACCCCTGCTCCAGCAGCCACCCCCCAGCACGGGC